GGTGACTTTTTTTTAACTTAAAATTACTTTGGTGTAACATAGGATTACGAATTTATGGAATTTACGTCAGTGGTGATTTTTGTAAATCAGGCTCAAAAGACCACATTTCATTACATTTTTACAGCAGGATAAGCTTAAATGTAGAATTTTCCATGGGTATGACCACTGTTTTTAATTAGTGATAACTGTATACCAGCCATGGAGTTTAAGTAACAGCATGCCAAGACTAACCAGAATTAATTTTGAGAGCATTAAACCAAAAAGACTCAACAAAACATTAAGATGAGTAGATTCTTTTTCTCTCTGTAACCAAGTTCTTTGAAAAATAATTGCTTAATTATCCTATTTTTTATTTTATCCTATTTTTTAAAATGTATCCTTTAACAATATGACTGTTTTGACAAACATTGTAGAACTTGGCTAGTAACATCTGTATGCAGCTTCCATGTGGACGGGATGTTCTTGTAGTTCCTGTGTTGCTTTTCCTTTGGAAAACTACGTCTGCTAAGTTACCAAAAGGTCTGGTGTGTTAATCTGTGTACTGTGTGTGCATATGTACTATCACATCAAAACTAGGTTGGATTTGGAAAGCCTCAGGTAATCAGGCAATTTGGTAAAGAGGCCACCATTAAAATACAGTTTTGCCTTGTACACAAGTATGTTATCATGGAATATTAAGGCTCCTATAACAACATCAATTACTTACAGATGGCTGCTGTTAACATTTTAATGGCCAAAACTGCACTATGATGGTGGGTACATAAGAAATTGGGGGGGAGAAATGAAAAAAGGTATGTGATAGGAATTGAGAGTGGCTATTTAACTGTAAAGTTCAGAACTTATTTGTTAACTGTTACAAATAAAATATTTTTTTTCGATTAAGGCCAATTTATGCCTGATGTTCATTATTCAGCATTGGGGTCAGTGCTGCCAAAGTTTTCCAAAAGGAAGTCAAAGTAGAAAGTCCCTTCAGCTTGGGCCAGAAGAACATGCTAAGTGCACTGACCTCTGGTATATCAAAACATGCTCCTCTTTCTGCATTCAGCCAACCCCAATAGCCACTATGATCAAGAGAAAAGGGGAAAAAGCCCCTGCACAGAAGAAAAAAAAATCTGTTCCAGAGACCACAAAAGTGCATGGAAAGATGCCTAGTAATGAGGAAAGAAGAGCTCCCCTAGACCTGATTGAAGACTATAAACTGTCAGGTCCGGAAGGCTTCAGGAGCGGAGCCCTGGAGCATATAAAAGGAGCTGCGTGCAGAGCACAAGGGGGCAGATGCATGAGGGACTCAAGAAGTGTGGAGCTAAGAAAAGCTGGGGAGCTCTTCCTCAGTGGGCAATAGGCCCAAGGCTCCTGAAGCTGCCACTGGAGGAGCAGCCTTGGGAGTGGTGCGAAACTGCTCGGGCTGTTGACAATGCACAGGGATGGTGCATGGAGACCCGGCCCTAGAAGCAGTGTGAGACTGCTCAGACCCATCAGTGCACAGTTTGGTGCATGGAGCCCAGGCTTTGGGAGCTGCAAGCGGCGACTTGAGCCTGCAACCCCTTGCAGGCCTTGGGGCCTGCAGTAAGGCAGCTCAGGCCTCGTCTCCCAGTAAGCAGCCAGGTTGCATGGTGTGCAGGGCAGCGCACGGGCCCAAGCCTTGGGAGCCAGGGAGCCACAGAGGCTGCTTGGGTTAGCCACCTGGCATGAGGATAGCTGGCCGGAGCCTGAAGGGCCTGGCCTGTGCTAAAACAGCCCTCAGTGCCAAGCCAGGGCACAGGGAAATAGTGCTGCAGCGTGAGGCTTAGCACCCAGGAGCCAGCAGCAGTAGTGCAGCAGTTGAGAGGAGCTGAGCCCTCAGTGCCCAAAGCTGGGCTTAGGGTGGAGAGGAGCCCAGTGGCACAGCAGAGGCCTGGAGAGGCGCTCCAGCAGAGGAAACCCCATTGAGCTGTGCCCTGACCACTGCTACCTGAGGGAGCGTGAGTCATTAGGTCCTTGGGTCCCACAGGGGAAAGACATTTGGGGACAGCAAACCCAGAGAAGTGACTGGGTGAGCAGCCCCACCACAACCCCCCACCTAGTCAAGGCCCTAAGAGGAGGGGCCCCTGGTGCTTCCTGGACACCCCCCCCACAAGGGACCCCATTGGAAGGAGGACTATCTCTTGCCATGGGTCAGGGACTATATTAAGGAAATAGATGTTATTAAGATTGTTCATGTTTGCATCTTATATTTTGTGATTGAAATGTTGTATTGTAATGTTGTAAATAGTGTTATTTAGGGTTTGACCTTGGTTATTGGTTAATATTCACTGTAAATATATGCATATGATATTTAGTTTTATGTTTATGTATATTATAACTCAATAAATTATATATAGTTAAGAACTTTGGGCTTGGGCTAACTCTATAAAGGAAAGAGGGAACTGCTCGAAATTCTGGCATCCCTCTCACAGCACCCCCTCCTGCCTACTCATCCCATCCTACTGAGAATAGGGCACACCCCTGGATGGACCCAGGTTACAGATGTTGGATCAGACCCCAAACACAGAGGGGTCATGATTTCTCTAGGAACTCCTTTATGTATTTGCATAAGTTTAGGTACAATCTCTCTTGAGATAAGCTGGTGTTTTAACTATGGCTGATACAACAGTAGCAAAAACTATGCATGTTCTACATGTTTTGGCTGGTAATTTCACTTTGGCTTTAATTTCATACTTATTCTATTTATTCCTTGTACAAATCACTAGGAAATCTTTCATAAATTAAGACATTTGAATCTTAATTTGTTTTTGTTGTAAACATAAATATGAACATTTTAAAATTCAGAATAGAATGTATTGTAAATGAAAAAAAGTAGTCCTAAGTTATATCACTTTCTGATCACTTCACTTTTTATCCACTCCTTGGAGAAAAGCCTACTTTGCATTTACAAATACCTTGCCTTCAACTCAGGGAAGCTCTCAAGTATACTGAATGGTGTGTTGCCTCATCCATCTCAGTCTTCAACTCTTCTTCTCATATAAAACTAACATTGTCCCACTATGAATTATGGCCTAAGAAATGTCACAGAAGAGAGTCAATCATCTCAATTCACCCTGTGATTTGAAATAAATGAATGACTACTATTGGTGAAATTTAAGTTACTGAGCTCATCACACCAGTGATGTGTCATTTTTGACACAACTCAGAAAATTTCTTTGCTTTTAAGTATGCAAAAATTACATTTAAAGCAAAATCACTTTTATTTTGAGATTCTTACACATAGGATTGGAGCATCCTGGGTTCCAGTCCCTTCTACCATGCTTTTTTTTTTGGTTTTTAAGACCCTTGGCAGACTTTATATTTGTTGCCTATTATACATGAGTATTGTGTGACAAATCATAACAGGCCAACTGGACATATGTTAAAACAATTGCAGAATATTTCCATGACCCAGAGAAGTTGCTGTTTCAATGAGCCACTTCTTTGTGGGTGAGCTCCTATTTTTATCTATAGATAAACACCATTTTAATGTTTGAATTCAATGATGTTAATGTAGTTCAGCATGCTTCAAACAGGTCTAACCTACAAGGTACTTTTGGGGATATAGGCATCTTCCCAGGACCAATCTGGATTGCAATAGTTTTAGTGGGAGTTAGGCAGCTGGGTGAGCAAACAGGATTATATCTGAATAGCCGTAGGTCCTTAAGAAAACTTTGTAATCCTAAATGGATATACCACCAGAATCTAGGCACTCAGGGTATGTGCTGATGTTGGCCACACCCAGTCTGCAATGACATGGCTTATATTAAGCTGTGTGATCACAGATTGGGGGTGGTGTATGCAGGGAGCTGCACCGGGAATCCACTGTAAGGAATTTCAGGCAGCAGGGGTTAATGGGTCCACAGGGAAGTTCAGTGTGTCTGTTGTGGAGGGGAAAGGGTTAATGGGTCTGTGGGAGAGGTTTGGGGGCTAGCCCAGTTGGGGTGGGGGTGTTAGGAAAAGTGCAGCCCACAGGCTGGGTTGAGTAGCTGGGCTTTCCCAGCCTTGGGGCTGCACTCCAAACACATGCAAACACATTCAATAGATTGGGCTAACCCACTCCCAACCTAAATTTACTTCCTTAGGTGAACTCATTTAGATTTGCTCCACCCTTTTTTGCCCAATTTAGCTTCCCCAAACATCTATGCAGATCAGCATTTAGATCAACCTAACACAAGTTACGTCAATCTAAATATAACATTTGCACATACCCTCAGTGAGTGGGGTGGTTTGTGTGCCAGGGACAATTGGATTGCTCTAACTTTTTCCTACATCCTATTTAGGCAACTGCAAGACAAAACTGGATTAAACCTATTGACTCCAATGAGGTGAAGTCACCGCATTGACTTTAGAGGGATTTAAACTCAAATTTAAAAATCAAGCACATGTTTAAGTGCTTTGCTGAATAGGGATGAACTCAAGACAATGCCTAAATGTGTTGCTGAACTGGGACTAGGGGTGGGAAAGGATGATGATGGGATAAAACCACAGGATAGAGTCAAGAGGTCCATGTTCAGCTATACATCCCATCTCTGCCACCACCCTCCTCTCTGACCTTTCTAAACCCCTTTCTGACGCCCACAAATCATCAGTTAAGGTCCTGGATTATAAAGTTTGATTATACTTACCTTAGCTTGCATAGCTGCAAATGTGATTTATGAGCATAAAAACTATCCAGTCATAAAAGGTGCCTCAATCTGTTCACACTGTTTGTTTTGATTAAGTCTGGCTACAAATTTTACAGGCTAACCGTATTCTATAGAGAGTAATATTTCCTCTAATTTGACAAAAATAGTGGCATTTTGAGAATTAAAAATTCCTTTTAATGGGCATTTTATTTCTTAATTTGTGTATGTATGGGAGACATTAACTCTATCCCTTCCATAACCCCATACCCCTCACCCTAATCCGAAGATAGAGATATCAGATGCAAACATTTCTTAATTATTTCTCTGAAATCATCAAAACTAATTTAATAACACAAAGAACTTACTCACTTTCAGTGCAAATAGGACAACATCCTTTTCTGTTCAGGATTTTACCCTAATTGAGAGAGAGAAACTGATTTAATGAAAGTGTCTTCAGAGCAATGATTGTTTCATGTTGTAAGCCTGGATAAGCCTTTGAAAATAGTTCAAGTTGTGTTTGAACTTAGTGCCCTGGCTACAGCTTCAAATATCAGGTGCTAAAAACAGACAGAACTATTCAAAAAGTTTCCTGGCTATGCTATAAGAAATAAAATACTAAAAGGGTTCTCTGTTGTTACCTTCCTCTTAGAGTGAAAGAGAATGTGGATTCATTCATTTGGGGGTACCTAAAGCAAAGCAGTTGTTCTATATTATCAAGATTCCTAAATGCCTATAGAACATATATACACGACACTTCGTATGAACACTTATGTCACTTGAGCATCTTGTGGGAAATCCTACTAAAGAGAATCATTCATTCTGCTACAGCCACAAATGAAAGTGCTCACTAGTATAAATCAAGTTATTCAAATACCTTCTTTGGATAATCATTTTGATACGGTTTACAAAAAATTAAGTTAAAAATAGTGGCCCAAATTCTCTGCTGGAGTAAAGGCGTGAAACGTCATGTATCTGCTTTTATTCAGGTAAAGTGTTTGGTCTCATAATAGGAATATTGAGCAAAGGTTCAGGTCCTCATTTAGCATTGTGCTCAGGCCTTTTTGTTTGTTCGTTTTATGTCCAAAATTAGTGCTTTGTGATTACATGTAAAAAGTGTGTAGTCTTCTACAAACTTCTTTGAATTATAAAGTGGAGCAATTAACTTTGTTCCAATTCACTGACTCATCTTCAAACTGAGAATAAGCTTGGAAAATGTCAGTTTGGATGGTGCAGCTTTTTGAGTGGTAACTGGGGTGAATTGTATTGTAACCTTGACCCAATAGTATAACTCACCCTGCTCACCCATACAGGCAAGCATGGTGTGTCCTTACTTCCCTGTGTTGGCTTTCAATGTTAACACGTGGGTGGCAAAAGTAACCTTTCATGACCACTACGCCTTTTTTCCCTGCAAATAGGTGTGGGCTTTCTCCCCACACAGTGCGCCAGATAGTACAGAAGAGCTCATGCAGAGGAGAGAAGCAATCAGCAGTGAGGACAGAGTTTGTGCAGATTACTGGTCTCTCATATGCAAATCACAGTGCTAGGATTTGTACCAGTAAATCCTATTAAGCACCTGCTACAGTAAAACACTGTCAAACACCTTTAAATAATGAGATGAATACCCACAGATTTTTCTGGGTATCCTCAATAAAAGAACTGAAATCATCAGCCAGGCTGGAAGTGGCAGGAATTCAAGTGAAATTGGAATCTGTAAGGCAGCCTTGCTAAGGCTGGTTACTTGAGCCACCATGTTGGCATGGGATCCTGTTTTTGTCTTGCAGAATAAGGAAGCCCATTATTGCTAACATGTGCTCCATGAGTTCGTTAGCATTGAGTGTTCCCTTAGGAATGGGATAAATGATGTGATCCCATTTTTCTCCATGAATATTTATAAGCAGACCATATCTGAGTCTGTTTATTTTCTAGGATTTTTCTTCTTCTTTATGAGGTTTTCAGTTTTATGTCTGAGGTTTTTATTATTCTAAGCAAGACTAATTGGGGGGGGGTGTTTGGTTGTGCAATAGCAACAGCTGTTGTTTTTTTGTGCCTCATTTGGCACTGGAGTAAAAACAGCAACTTTTTGTTTGTAATAATAACAGATGTGTATTACACTAAATGCTGTCTGTGTTAGGGATGGCAGAATGTATTCTGAATTCATTTTAAACTCACTAGAAGTTCATAGGTTCAAAATTTACCCACAGAATCAAAATGAGCAGCTTCACATGCCATGAACTTAGCTCTATTAACTTTTGTACAGAAATGGCCCTCAAAGACAAGTTCATGCTTTCAAGTCTCTATGAGCTCTCATAATAGCACTGAAAGAATATGTCCATAACCATATGGTACAAGCACAAGGTACCATTGCTATGATGTGAAACAGGGTACAAAACAAGAGCAAGGTGTCCAAAAGGGGGATGTGAAGGGAAAAATTGGGCTTGGATGAGTAAAGAGATGTAAAGAGGAGAACTGGTAAGTACTGTATTTACTTTCCCCCTAAAATTTGGCCTCCAAACTTAGGGTGTGTGTTTTAAGCAGGGAAGCTGATTTTCTTTTGCTGAAATAGAAGCAGGGTAGAATAGAGCAAGCAAACACTGTGACTTATGGTTGCCACTTTTCCAAGGGGCTGCAAACAGCAAGGAAAGAAAAGCTTGGTCTGGGGCCTAGCTTTGTTGCTGTCCTGCCACACCAGGTGATTCTTGCTGCCTCACCCAGACTTGGATGCCACACTTCTTGGACACTCAGTGTTTCCAGAAAGACTTAATGTCACACAGTCAGCCATGATTCTGGAAAAATCATGTTTTCTACATTCTGCCTTCAATAAACAAGGGGTGTGTTTCATTTGGAGGGATGTGGTATGTGAGAATGTATGGCATATAGAGAATTAGAAGAGAAGGTGGTTAATGAATCTATAGAGGAACTGAATCCCACCAGATGCTGTGCTTACCTCATTTCAGGACAGCACTTAAGCATGGGTTTAAGTATTTGAATAGGTCTGCTAAGTTCAGCAAGACTTAACACATACCGAACCAAATAACTCAATATTCTGCAGAATGAAGCACAAGACAAGACAACAAGACGGGAAATGCACCGTGAATCAGTGATCACAAAGTGGAAATAAAAACCTCGAGACATAAGGCTCACCGGAACCTGAAGGAGGACTGATTTTGCTATCAGTGTTACAGAAGGGAATTGAGACAGAGAGAGATATATTGCATTCATGTGCAGATGCAAAGAAACTCAAGCAGTATGCTTCCTGAAATTATCAGGAATAGTAAAGGTTAGATCCTAAATGCAAGGGAGAAGGGAAGAAAGTATATAACCTTGGGAAAAATGAAAGAAATGGCAGAAACAGTCTCTCAAAATATGGCAACCTGCCACCAGTTCAGACAGTAAGACAAACAACTATATGGTATCAGAAAGTTCTGCTGCACTGCCAGCACAACACCTGTTCTTCTTCATACAGAAAGATTTCACTGGCCTAGAGCTAGGTTGATGAATGATTCAATATTCTCTCACAAAAACCTTCATGAAGAGAATGTTAAGACTGAGTGATTAAGCACCTAAAAGTGAAGGGATGAAAATACAAGATTGCCTGTAAATCCTTAATTCTTTCACCCTTGCCTGTGTGCATTATAATACTCATTTTACTGAGATTATCCCAGGCAAGATTGTGAAACCCTTACAGGCATAAGGCAGTGCTTGACGCCACAAAGAATCCCAGTTACCTGAGCCAATGGCAACTAAAGCACAGTACTATTCGGAGTGAGAAAAGGAAATCACACTCCTGCTTCTATCGTCTGTAGGTTCATACTGTATAATCCTGTGAATTTTTCCCTTCAGCCTAGCACATAATCTGCTCACAGACATTCAGCATCCACATCGGTAATGGAGCTATGCCTTGCATTATGTGAAGTGTTTTGGGCATATTGCTTTGTGACAGAATACCTTACGCTACTGAGGCTAGATCAGTAGCAAAACAGCTAAGGTGAGTAGGGTACATACAGATGTGGATTGTTTTCTCCTCTGTTCCTTCTAATTGTTCTTCTCTAAAAGGAATAGATAGTAAGAATAAACTAGGTATTTTTACCTTGAGATAACGTGTTGCTGAAGGACTGGTATATATGAAGGGAAAGGGAAAGAGGAGTTGGAGCAGAGAAAAGTTATTGCTGAGTGAAAGATTCCATTTCGAATCAAGAAGGAAAGCTGTTGGGTCAGAAACTATTAGAAACAAAGCTATGGGCTGGCAAAACAGTCCAGCATCTTAGCTGTGGAGAGGTGACTCTTGCTTGGGAACTTATCTTGGGGGTTGGTTTCAAATAGCTCAGGGGCTTGCTTTAGTCTAAGTCGGTGGTTTTCAAACTTTTTGAGCTGAGCCCCGCTTTGAGTTTCAATTTGGTTTGTGCTCCCCGCAACCCCAACATGCATCCTAGAGGAGCAGTGCAGCCAGGCACAGGTTGCCTCTCATCCTAGGAGCTGCCACAGCTCGCCTTGGCTTGGCTTGGCTCAGCTCAGCTCAGCTCAGCGGGTTCCACCCACCGTGGTTCAAGCTCTTCCTGCCTTGGCCCCACTGCAACTCTAGGCTGTGTGTCCAATGCACCAAGCTCCTGGAGGTGCAACAGCTTGCTGGCGGATCCTGCCCAGGGCTCCCCACCCCTGCAACCGCTTGTGAGGCTGCAACAGCACCAGCTCCTGGCAAACTTCTTGCCTGCACCCCCCTGCACTGCACCTCCCCCAATATTTCCTCATGCCCTCCCAGGAGAACACACCCTATGGTTTGAAAACTGCTGGTCTAGGTGCACATCATAACCCAGAAACTCACACCATCCTGGATGCTTGCTGATCCATAAGAGCTTAGCTTAGCTTCTAACCGTGGGACCTTACTCCATTCCCAAGAACCCTCCCAACTTAATCTAAGCTGGGAGATGAGCCTCAGCTAGAACCTGGAGCTGCTACAATTCAGCTAAGAATTGAAGTTAAAAGCCTTTTTGCCCTAAAGGAGATGAATAAAAAGGATGTTTATTTTTTATGAGGCTGTTAATGGTATTTGTAAATTAAACTGACATTCTTTCTAAGGGATCCTAACAGTGGAAATCTCTTACTGACTTTATTTTTAAGGACTGTTTAACTCCTTTTGCTCCCTTGTATTTTACTTTCTTATAACTCTGAAACCAAGCTAGAACAATGTTGAAAGAGCTTATTAGTAAGTCATGTGAGTCAGAGTTAAGGCTATTACTGCAACGTGAAAGGTGAATTTTCACGCATCATTCTTTCCACTAAAACACTCATGTGCAATAGTACCATATTTATTCAGATCTAAGATTGGGGGGGGGGGGGTCCTACCACTCATTCAACATGTGGGGTGGGGAGCCTCATCTGAGATTTGAGTAGCAGAGAAGGAGCTGCTCCCACTGATGCCACTGCCTGGCTAGGGCCAGGGTGACTCAAGATGTGTCATGTGGCAGGGAGACATAGGGGACACCACGCAGTGCACGGCCCTAGGGACATGCAGGATGGTGGGGGGAAGAGACACCATAGTGGTGGGGATCATGTGGTGGTGGGGTAGGCACACTGGGGAGATTGCATGGTGTGGGGGTGGGGAGGGAAGCACAGAGGAGACTGCACAGAAACAGGAGAGCTAGAGCTGGAGCTGGAACTGGAGCTGCTGCTGCTACTGCTGCCCAGCCAGGGCTGGGGCTGAAGGTACCATGTGCTCTGGGCTCTGGGCCAGAGCCAGAGCCACCACATTTGGTAAGCAGCAGCAGAAGGGGAGGCAATGCAGAAGACAGGGATGCAGGGGCAGGCGCTAGAGGGGACAGGAGTCAAAGGGGTAGGCACCAGGAGGCACAGGTGCCAAGGGCAAGGCAAGTGGCAGGGCAGCAGGCAGGGGGCAGGCCTCCTGCCTCCTCATTATTGCTTTCCCCAGAACAGTGGTGGTAGGGAAAAAAATTTAAAGACAATCCTCTAATAGCTAGATTCTATACATAGAAAATTATAATTATTGGCGGGGGTCATCTTAAATTAGAAGTCACCTTGGGTTTTGGTAAATGTGGTACCTTCCTGGATAATAATACTTCTATGTGAATTACCTCAACTGACCATTTCCAGGAGTCTTAATGCTTAAGTTTATCAAATCTAATGATGTCATAATGTATTTTGCATAAGGTGTCTTAAATTACATTTGCAACTCAGACTCTATGAGGTCCTATAAGTTTAAATTGGATAAATGCAAGAAACTAGGGATGGACACACAATGCTTTCTATAGTCCCTAGGATTTTCAAAGTTCTCATAGACAAAAAGTAGGCAGATGGACCTACATAGATTTCCATGGACCTTAGTACTGGAAGGGACCTCTTAGGTCATCAGATCTACTCCCTAGACTCTCATCTCTGTTTACTTCATGCAGAATTTTATGACTGGCACCCCATTACCATGGACCTCCTAATATTCCTAGATGAAGAATTCCATTGGGCACATCTTCTAGGATGTGTGCAGCAGCAGAGTTCCGCGCTTGTGAAACGTAACATGTCTAGAACAGAAGGACAAGCCTTCTGTGAAACATCAGAGGAGTGAAGGAGAGACAGGAGAAAAATGACCCCTTCTACACCGTTGCCCCAGCACAGAATTTAAAATGACTTCTGCAGAGTTCCAAAGTGTCAATGTCACGGTGGCCTGCCTTTTGTAGAGTTTGTAACTCCAAAATCCAGGCTTCAGATTCTATTATCCTTCCAAAACGTCACAAGTATAAAATTTTACACACTGGAGTTTGTCATTTAAAATTTTATGCATAGGTATCTGTGACTAATATTTTCTCCTTTTGGCTTCTATGACAGGGAAGGAAACACTGAGAAGGTGCAACAGTAATAATTTGGCTGTCTTTTTGGTAGTTTTGTTTTAAGATGTGTCTCAGTGTAAGTTGTTATTTAGAGCTCCCTCTCCTGAAAGATTGGGCTATTAAAAATAAGCTAATTTGCAAATGACAGAAGTCCAAGAAAAATCAGCCCAAAATTTTATATAATGCTTATTTTTAAAGTTATTAAGGAACAGAAGACTACACTATTTTTCAGATTGACTTCAGACTTTCACAAAAAACAACCCCATCTGCATCACTGGAGAAAATGGTACAGTTTTGATTGAGTTTGTTTTGTTTTGTTTTGTTTTGTTGTTTTGGTTTTTGTGATTAAATCTGATTTGCATTGAAAAAAAGTCAACACAACTTTTGCTGTACATCTCCCTAATGCATACATGCTTGACCTTTAATTTCAGCAGCAATTGTCACACCAATAAGACTGATGAATAAATGAGAGAGAGGCTTTGCTATAGAAATTTAGGAACACATACACACACACATATATAGGTTATATATAGATAGATAGATAGATATATCTAGCTACATCTATCTCTATGTATAGATAGATATAGATAGATACATAGATATAATATAGAGTAAGAACTGAAGATAGAGACAGGAAAGGACAGATGATGGTGAATTTGGAGAATTCTAATCTACCATTGATACTAGCGTTATTAAGCATTTTCTTCCAAAGTCTACCTGCCCAGTTGCTACACTGGTTCTCCAGAGAGATATTGATAAAGATAAAACAGAGGGTGAAAAACCATGCTCTGGTTAAAACTCACGTGAGGGCAGCTGTTGACTGGAATGCACTGCTTCTTGCGACACTCTGTCCTGCCTTTCATACAAGCACAGATGGTACAGTTAACGGAGGACCACATCTCTCCATCCTGCCACAGGAAGAACATGATATAGCCATCAGCTGGGGTGGCAGAAAAGAAACCATTCCAACAATGTTTCATTTCATTGCACAGGAAAGCACTGCTTTCCCTGTTAGAGTTATGTCATTGTTTAGTCTAAATTATTACGAGGTGTCTGTCCGCACCCAGTTGGATTAAAAGATGAAGATCAGATTCAGCAGGGATTTCTTCACTTTGACCTTTCACTTTAGAAATTCATTCTTATAAACCTGAGCAAAACATTTTTGCATTTTCCGTCAATGTGCTAATTAGTTGCATTGTTTTCTTCTCTGGTACATGTGAGATGTGATCGCACCTATCATGAATTTTAATTTCAGCCAACATAATTAGAAAAATCTGATTCATTGGGATGATTGGCATGTTTAAATTGTTGCATGTGAAAGCATTTAATTAAGATGTCAGAATACAGTGAATTTATTCCCAGATGTGGCATCATTTTGGCTTAAGCTAGGAATGGATAAATAATGAATTCTAATTCAGATTACTTACAGTGCTTTAGTAGACACTTGATCTGCTAAACATCTGAAAATGTTTAAATGAGATATAGTGTTAAACTACCCAAATGTTTAGCAGGTAGGTTATTCTTCCAGAAGACAGTCTGTCTCTGAAAGTATTAAATGGACAGCGGAGTCCACTTCAGAGCCTTGTTTCTAACTTAGGAAAGTTGGTTGGTGAACTGCCCTGGCTCAGTTCTACATGGCTTTGCATTTGGCAAATGTGGTTCTTAAAAGCATTCCACCTCACCCACATACAGTCCTGTGCTAGGCCATTTAAAGGCTTGACATGCAAGCTTTCTGTTTACGGGACCACTGTGGAGGAAGGATGAGGCCAGAGCAGGCAGGAACATAGTAGAGGCAGTCCAAAAGGACCGAGTGTGATTATAGCTCCAGCTAAACTGGGAATGGTTCCTCAGCATGGTAAACAGAATGGAAGCAGATTCAAATCAAAAGAGCAAAACAGCTGGACTTATTCAGCCTGGCATGGTTTTTAAGGCTATCCTGACTTTTCTGTTGTCCTGGTGATACAGCATTGACTAGCTTTTCTGTTGCAACACAGTTCCATTTCTTGTAGTGTCTGCTGACTGGTCCCCACACATTAGAATCACAGAATAATAGAAAATTAGGGTTAGGAGGGACTTCGGGAGGTCATTTAGTCCAACCTCCTGATCAAAGAAGGCCCATCCCCAACAATATCATCCAGCCAAAGCTTTGTCTATCCAGGTCTTAAAAACCTCCAAGGATGGAGATTCCACCACCTCTCTGGGTAACCTGTGCCAGTGCTTTACTACCCTCCTAGTGAGAGAATTTTTTTCCTAATATCTAACCTAAACTTCTCTTGCTGCAACTTGAGATCATTGCTCCTTGTACAGTCCTCTGCCACCACCGGGAACAGTCTAGCTCCACCCTTCAGGTAGCTGATGGCTGCTATTAAATCTGCCCTCAGTCTTCTCTGCTCCAGACTAAATAAGCCCAGCTCCCTCAGCCTCTTCTCAGAAGCCTTGTGCCCAGCCTTCTAACCAATTTCATTGACCTCTGCTGGACTCTCTCCAATTTGTCTACATCCTTTCTGTAGGTGGGGGAAGGGGGCGCAAAACTGGATACACTACTCCAGAGGTAGCCTCACCAGTACAGAATAGGGGGAGATAATAATTTTCTATGATTTATGATTCTATGAGTATCTCTTCCGACACAGTATAAAACTACTTTAAAAAAACAAACAGGAACTTGGTAGTACAGTTTTGTAGGAAATCCCTAGTGATCAGAAAATCTTGGGTTGGAGCAGAAGAGATCACTGTTATATGGCTTCCCAGTCCTGGGTGTTACAAGTGACTGTCCATAACATAGCTGTAAGATGTAATACAGCTGGAAGGGTAGCTTCCAGCTGAAAGCAGCTCAGTGCAACTCCTACTGGCTCAGCCTGGGGGAGGCTCCCTTTTGGCTTAGCTGATAACTCTGCTGCCTACAGGCCACTGAAAATACCTTTTCCATGACTGTCAGAATTTGTTTGGGAAAGGGAAGCATATCTCTCTGATTAAAAATGTATTACTTGGCACAAAGCAGCAACCTGATTCTCTGTGTGGGGAGAGGGACACAGCATGCCAAGCATAGGAGGAACTCATCATAATTCTTTTTGTATCAGCGTAACCCATACACACTTAAAAAACCAAGAGCAGATGGTAAATTTTGCAAAGCTTTGCCTCCAAGCTGTTCTGTCAGCAATCAGCATCGTGTGGATTCTGTTAAAAAGCCAACCACAATACTAATTTATAGTAAGCCAGTGCTATTTCAGCTGATACAATGGTACCTTTCATTGAGCCACACTTGAAACATTACCTGGAATATCTTACTGCCAAACTTGCACACTTTCACTTCCTCAGGAGAGACATATGAGATGCACTCCTTGCAGCAGTGTTCCTTGTTCTTATTGCATTCTCCAGAAAGTGAGCACCTCCTTTTACACACCACTGTAGAATCCTACGTACAAGAACAGAAGGACAGTAAAGAAAATGCTGATTTATTTGTTTGCTCTTTTTCCCATTACCCGTGGTGACATTTCTGTGAACATAGTAATCTTTTCACCTAAGGTGTCTCACAAGTACTTTTGACAAATCAGGTCAGGGAAAAAAAAAGATTATTGAATTAGGAGAATCCTTCACAATGTGTCAATTTAACTATGTAAGAGCTCATCCTTAGCTTGCATTTGCTTAGCCAGGCAAAATCCTACCATGTTGTTTTGTTAGCTATTGTAGTTATGGGCAAACAAACAAATTACAGGGAATTAACAGGGGGCAGGTTTTTAATCACAGATCCATTGATGTATGCCAACTGTCCATCTGCCCACTCTGATCCTGTGGTAAGTGAAATCTAAACCCATAGGCTAGGGACAGAAATTACAAATAAACTGGTATAAATGATCAGAAACCAGTTCAAATGTGTAACACAACAGAAGTTCAGTACATATAAACCACTTTCAAAATGGCTGAAACCGGTTTAAAATAAATCTGGATAGTATGAGACTTAACTGATTTAGGTTAAATCAGTTTATTGAACTTCTTTCCTAGATCCCCTGTAGATTCAAGTTAACTCAGTCCCCCTGCTTCTCATGATGCTTTGCACCTCCCCTGCAAATCCCCCTCATGGGCTGGGTGGGCTAGCTTTGGCCCAAGCTGTCTGGTCCAGCCAGATGGCAGGTGTGCTCAAGTGCCCCCCGGCTTCTGGCCTAAGCCAGTACAAGCACGTGGCTGCATTTCCAGAATCAAAAGTGAATGTCTGTTCACTTGATTATCAGTTCAGTCTACACAACATAGACTAACCTGTGAAGATTTAATCTGTTCAGCCTTGGGCTCTTTGATTGTTTGTACTTAGTTCTGTTTTATTCAGGTGTAAAGTTGCCCTAGCTTAACTTTCACTTACCATAATGTAAGACTGTACTGACAGGCAGTTACAGCAGAGCAACTGACACATGTTAAGTCCCTGAACCTTTTAACTCACTGCAATTAGATTTTTTGAACACACTATTGTTGTCCCTTTGCCAGGGTATAAATGATCTAGGTAGTACAGAGTCAGGCCCTAGATCTTCCCAGTATTGCAAATACTAATTTAAAGCTATAAAAGCAGTGTCATACATTACTGTCTTACCTTGCAGGTACATGTTGTGCAGTTGTCATAAATGAATGAGGAGCCATTGTCATAAACGTCACTGCGAAAGAGGCAGCTTCCAAACAAGAGGTCAAATACTTTCCTCTGGCCTGAATATAAATAACCATGAAGAAACAGAAAGAGAAAGAGAGAGAGAGAGAGAGAGAGAGAATGTGGTTGAAAGGGTATTATGCATTGTCAAAAATAGCAGGGTTTATTGTCACCAGACCAATTAATATGCAATGTGCCATTTCATGTGTGTTCCCATTTTGGTGTATAAAAATGTGTTCTTTGACAGATCCCTATCCTTTTTGTAGAGTTTACTAAGATGAATGTCTACTTTCCTTGTAAAGGAGGAAATTTTAATATGACTTATGGCCTGCTAAATTAGAAAACTTTCCCCTTCACCACCATACAGAATATGGTATACCTAAATCAATTTTGAATTACCTAGTACACACCTCTAATAGGAAAACACTTAAAGTATTTAAACTACATTTGTGCTGGAAAATTGGCAAATAGCTCTATTAAGTTAAACTGGTTCAAGTGCAGTTTAAATTGGTTTAAGCTTATGCCAGCCAAATGAAATCAATTTAGTCTGTCTGATGCAAAAAAATTCTGCACTGACCAGCCTCTGTGAAGATACGTCATATATTCCTTTACTGTAGAAGATATGTCATATATTCCTTTTGACATTGCCCTCAAACAGAATTGCATAAGTTATAACCCTTTACCACATATGTCAAGTTACCTATATTAATCAGAAGGGAGCTATCTCAAAATAAACAAAGGAAAGGAAACCAAGAGAGAAACTATATACTTTATAATCCATAAAAAATGTTTGATTCTCATGTTAGTAAAGGATAGGTTAGGGCAAAAAATAGTGTCTGCAGGATGCCCAAAGTTCTACAAGACCTTGCAAAATTCAGCAAGCAATGCTAAACCTCAGCTGTTAACTGCAACACATTATGTTATTCCATTAGGCAAAAAATTGAATACGAGTAGAATGAACTGCACCCTTCTGAGGTTTATAAACTGAGCATCATGAATTCTGGTTGCATGCAGGTCTTTCAGGTAATACTATAAAAACCATACAGTGTCCTTGTCCTGCCTCCCTTCCCTGGTACCACATTTGGCTGTATCTAGCTACCCCAGAAATGACTGCATTTCATGAGCATTTTGTATATATCTGCAAGTATATGTTCATTTGATATATAATCCTCTTTGTAAAAGGAAATTATTGTTACTGTTGTTCTCATTTATTGAAGAGTTTTTTATTAACTAAAATCTATACTAAAGAAAATCAGAAAGAGACAGATATTTGATTAGGAATGGCAGCATGGAAAGATATGGGGAGTTTGGAGGATGAAAAAGGTATGTTCTGAGCCAAAATAAAAGCTTAGTGTATGAATTGTTCTCAATTCCATTCCTTTACCATACTATACTCTGAGGGTGCTGTGGTTTCATGACCTAGGCAGGTATTTATTTATAAGGTTTCCTGACTCTGAAAAAGTTTCAGGCAGTCAAAAAAAAGTTAAGTGTTGTTAGAGAATGAAGTCTTCTATAGCTGGGAGTCCCCAAACCCATGGCTCTTTCTGCCCCTGCACTAATCCAGCCCTAGAGAGAGACACAAGATGACAAGATGCTAGTAAGGGATTATGTTGAACACAACAAAATTGAGCCTCTCACCCAGGTAGTTCATCATCAGCTCTGTTCTGCCTTCAGCCCCTGCCAGACTCCCATCATGGTGGGCTCTCACTATTCTATGTTTCTGACACAGTGAAGTTACATGTTACATTTAGGCTGTACTAAATGTGCGAAATGTTAAGTGGTGTTAAAGTTAGACCATGCTGTGAGCAGTCAAATCTTAAGGGTTAAAACTGCTTCTTTCCTGCACAGCTCTGACTTGCCAATAGAGAGCTAGTAATCAGGGGCATAGCTAGGACACCTGAGCTCTATCCCTACTTGAACAGAGGTGGGGAGGCAGTTGGATAGGGGGAGATGGAAGCAGTGTATCCTGGGATGTTGGAGGACTGCAAATACCTCTTCTTACTTCCATGGAGCAGACTGAAGTTACCCTAACACGAGATAAGTAGCATAGCCCAGACTTAACCCTCACCTGAAGTGGCATAACTTTGAGATGCTCAGAGGACACTTAGCATGAGATAAAGAAGTTTAACATGTGGATGCTCATATTTAAGAGCCCTCACTGTGGTCCAAGTGTAATGTGTAACTTGACTCGCACACATTCAGGATAGTTTAATTAAAGAATAGTGGAAGTGGTATTAGCAAAATAAGAAGCCAAAGTTGTTGTCTTCTTCAGTGTTTGGAATGATTAGGAAAAGCTGGCTTTCCCAAAAGGTCTTATTCCCTCAGCCTCACATAGGTTCATTAGGACACACTGGGCACATCTACACATTGCCATATGGCAACATGGCTATGGTGCCATGCTTTAGTACTTCCCTTTGGAAGTACTAAAGCATGGTACAGTACAGGTGGTTATTGAACTGTGCATGCAGCACACAGTTAGATTTTGCCACTACGCCGCTATAGTGGCATGCTAAACCAGGGGAGCATGCCGCTATAGTGACTTGGCTGCTGATCATGTGTAAACCCACATGATTGCTACATTGTCATAGCACACCATACAGCAACGTGCAGACGTGCCCACTGAAAGCCTGTCTTCTAGAACCTGCTGCTCTTCCTTTCAAATTTGACCTGAGTTGTTACCCAGAGTACATGACCTGCAAAGCCCCAGGGCATGCATCCTCTGGAAATTAACAGACTTCTGGTATCAGATGTTGTGCCATCATCAATCCTGAAAATTTTATTGCCACTGGAAAGAAGACAACTTTTATCACACCATGAACCTGAAGATTATAGTGCTACTACTGGACCAAAAGCAGGGGTTAGCCAGACTCCACTTTTAACTGTAGGGAGTGTCTGATCTTAACAGCACATACTCCATACAATAATCTATGAAGGGTAATGATTACTAGTTCAGTTCCACTAATTTGTAATTTGACCCTTATTCCTCACATGTAGATAACTGACTAAATTTATTCTTCCTGGTACAAACTGGGTCCCTAAGAAATTCATCTGAAGCCAGGTAATCCTTACTATTTATATCAGATGATATTTTGGAGAAGGCATCATTTAGATACATGTGTGGAGGGTTTTTAATTAAATGATATCTGAAACCTACTGATGAGCTCTCCATCTTAGATTACAATGCCACTCTAAGCCATCAACAATCACACAAATTCATGCATCTTTCTCCTTTCTGACAACAACTGTTAAAAGTGATGTTTCAGTTGAAGGTTCTCCTTCAACCTGTATTTCTTCAAAGTCAAGAATGGGAAACGCTGCTTGAATAAAATATCCAAAAGTAAAAATCCTTCATGGATTCATGAATGTCAACAAGCAACTTTCCCTAAACTCAGTCTGCTTTGCAAAGCATCCATAATAAGGGTGGAAAATATATTTTTGTCAGTCTATGACAACCAAGGTCTTTGAACTCCATCATTCTTCCTGAATTTTGTTCTTTGTACCATGCTTCCTTCAAAACACTACCATGTCTATAGTTGCCACCTTCCTGATACAGCAGACTGTTGTTTTCATCCAACTTCCCTAGTATTTGATTTAATAGGTTACAATTAGCTAGGAATTTGTACAACAGGTGTTGTACAAAAACAAATTGTGTTACATATAATATTCCTATGAAAATAAGCACTCACCTAAACATTTGGGGCAACATTGTCCAGAAGGAATGTGACTGAGGTGCTGGGGACATGACAGAATAGGACAGACTTCTTGTATGCACTGTGTCCTGCCTCCCTAAGGGAAGATAGGCTTAATTAAATTAGGGGGAAAAAAACATGCACATACACACATACACACACCACAGAGGAATGCATATATTGATGACGAGTCTTAAAGAAGCCTTAGCTGAAGCAATATTTACACGCATATATTTGCATACAGGGACTAATGCCAGGTACATTCAGCACTTTTTATATCCTTTGCATAATCTTGGAATATATTAAAATTTTTCATTCTAAAAAGCAATAAAAGTTATAACTGTTCAGTGAGACTTTCTCTTCTAACTGGTGTCTGAATATGACCACAGAAAAAACAGATTGAATGCATTATCTATGAAGTTTTTTTTTAACTTCAAGAAAAAGTGAATGATTCTTTTCCCATTATTTTCCACTTCTTATGCTCTTGTGGCTCAGGTTTTGTTTGGAACAGAGAGTATTGTGCTAAAGAAAGATGGAAATGTGTTTTCTCCCCTTATTTTTATTATTTCAGAAGCCCAAATTAGGCAAAAATCAGTAAGACAGCCAATCCTTAAGAAAATCTAAATCCAACCCTACAAATGAAGAACTCTTTAGAAGAACAAAAGAAATCTGCCATGTTCAAAAGACAAAGAACCAATAGGGACTAGGAGAGAGAAAGAGAAGAAAAAACAGAAGAAAGCTGATAAGGGTGCATTCAGAAGGATTCAGACAAGAGACAATGAGGGGAAAGTCAAAATAAAAGACAAAAGGTTGGAGAAAACAATAGCAGATTAACAAAAGTTAAAAGTGAAGTAGATTTTGGATAAGGGGAGATTAAAAAGAAAAGAAAAGGAGATGAACCGCCAGACACCAGGCAAAGAGACCAGGATGGGCAAAGAAAAGCAAAAGGTAAATTTAAGAGGTAAGTACTGTTTTGTCCACCCCTGTCCTTTACAAAACCATTATTTCTTACTAGTATTATGGTAGTGCTATGAGGCCCTGGCCAGGGATCAGGGCCCATTGTTCTCAGTACTGTGCACACATGCTATAAAAAAAGACCATATAAAGGATAAAAATATTTCAACCTAAGCAATATTCTGTTTTGATTATACAAGAAAGGTAGTTATTGGCAAACGAGGAGGAGGAGGCCTTTAATTTCTCCACTGTGTTGTCCAGACCCTTTTGCATTTATCTCTAAACCCCCATTCAAAAGTCTCCATGCAATTGTGACAGGATTTCAGGTTAGCCATAAAATCAGGGCGCCTTTGCCTTGTTACTACAAAAAAATTATGAGTAGTCTTCAACTATATGCATTTAAGATGCTTCTCTGACCTCCAGAGAGAGAGAGAGACAGACAGACATGGAGAAAACATTTCAGAGTTTAGTGTTTAACAATTATGATACAATACTCCACTCACTCCCAATGACACAATACCATGGTTAACCATGAGGAAGGTTTATATGTATGGGGACCAGCAGAATAAATGCTAATACTGTTGGGAAGAAATTAAAATATGTTGTCTGTACCACATTCTTTAACAAGATTTCAGACACTGGACTGTCCAGAAAGAACAAGTTTTTTCACCTATCCCAAGGGGGCCAGTGAAGCATCCTGAACACGCATGGCTATGGACTGCTCATAATTCTTTCAGCACTGTATTCAAAAATACTGAGTTTATTGTGGGCTGAAACTGCAGATCTAAATTAAGAACCAGACAGGAAACCTTGACAAAATGAAATTAATTCCTTCATTGAGGATTCTTCTGATGCTCAGGGAATAGTTCTTTCAGAAGAGGCACAGGTGCAGAATGACAGGAAAAATATATATCCAGGGCTCACCAAAATGCTGTTGTCACTCCATCAAGGGAAAGGCTGAGAGAAGACAGAACTCATGCATAAATTATAATATAGTGGATGACAAAATAAGGCATGGAGCCCTCAATGAGACACAGTGAAAGGGACAGAGAAAAACTACTGATGGGTCAAGAAAGGATTTCACACACTGGGTACCCAGAATGAGCCATTTCAGGTTGAAACAGCCACTGAGCAATCTCACTTAGAGACTTTGTTTCCTGAATTTCCTCCCCTGAATCATTTTGGAGTCTTACACATTTGATTGACTGAGGCAAAGTGTAACAGGGAGCCCCCTTTGTACAATCCCCTTCTGGGCATTGATATAACAGAAGCCCCTTCTTGCCTGCACCCTCCCCCCCTTTTGTGCATTTCTTTTTCCTTCTAAGTATTGGAAGAGACCTACTACAAGCTGTGGCAAGGCTTGGAGCAAGCCAGAAAGCTGAAGTGGCTTTCTGTAGGAGAAACCTACAAGCTGCATCTACATATCAGTTGAGCTAAGTGTCACTAAAGAAAATAAAAAAACTAAAATATCTGCTTCAAAGCAAAGCCTATAAGATACAAGAAAAGCCAAGGTTCATTGAAAGCATGACTGTAAATATATCCTGGTGAACACATTCCCCCTTTGATTAAGACCTATTTCCCAAAGCAAACTTCCCATATCCGTCTAAAGTTTTATGTTAAATCAGTCTACGTGACTGCATCTAACCTAACTCACTCACTGTCCCCAGTGACCTTTGATCCTTACTACCTCACATTGCATTTTTATATATTTCTCACAATGCATTTTGATATTTCATCTGTCTCATCTTTGCCCTAGCATTCTGTATTTTATGTTTTATACCTTTTAATTTTTAACAAATGTATTCTCTAGAGTAAGTCATACCTTGTATTAATAAAATTATTATTATAAGAATGCATTGGAATTGTATTACTGTATTGGGCTGGTCCCCTGAGTGAATGCATGAGTCATTTGGTAATTGAATGACAAATCAAGAGCCTCTGGCTGTTAATTGACAATAGCCTAGCCAGAGGAACTTACCATTACAAAACTCTACAAGCCATTTTAAGCCAATCAAGCCACCTGGAACCTGGCCACAGCCATTGAGTCAATCAAGTCAACGTTGGACTCCCAAGGTTAGACTCCCAAAACTACACCATTGGGCAGAACCCCCAGTGACTGTGACTGACAGCTGTCATGCACTGCTCAAGACCAATGTGGGACAGTGACCTCTGGACTGGGCAGCCAAGATGATGCTGGGGGATCACAGAATTATGCCAGAAATGGATAAGAGGCAGTGAAGTGTGACCCTCAGTGGTGCCCTCTCATCCAGCACCCAACCTACCAAGACAGAAGGACAAGCAGACGACCCACTTCTGGAGAAGACATCTCCTTGAGGAAGCTGATCATCAACAACAAACTCCAGCTTCCCAAACAGGTATAAACCAACATTGGTGCTACACTATTATTGCAGACATTGTATGTGTAAGGGTGTGTATGTGTTAAGGTGGCCAGTACCCCTCATAACTCAAAGTTTGCATTTATGATTTTATTGGTAACTTCACATCCCGTACAATAAATTAGAATTTATCATGAACCTGTGAGTTGGTCCTTTGTAGCCAACAAAAGTGCAGGTTTAATCCTGCATTGGGAAACCCCACTCCCAGCTGCTTTATTCTAATTAGGCTTTTTAACCTGGCTCATTTCTATGCCTATTGTTAAGGTGAGGGGTCTGAATTTATAACACACTGTGTGATTTCTAAGGTTGGGCCATCAAGACTGACTAACAATTCAGGGCTGCATAACACATGGAAGCTAATCTAGCTTTGTTTTCCCCACTTCAGATAAAAGGGTTGCATTGTCCCTACACCTGACATGTGAGTTCAACGGTAAATCAACTCTGAGGATCCTAAGAGAAAGCAGAACCATTCACTTTCCCTCTGAAACATCTTAGCCCAGACTCAAGCTTGTTCAGAAACTGGCTTCTAGAATAGTAAACCCATCTTCTCACATATAGTGCCCACTGCAAAGCCAAGATTGGCAGACTCCTTCAGTTTAAAGGATGTTAAGTGGTACAGAAAAAGTCTTTATGGCTAGGGACAGATATTCAAAAAGCCTGAGCCTAAATTGATTCAATCTTTGCAGATTAGGCTAACCTGGCAAGGCAAAAACAGTTTTGTAACTGGACAGACATGCCAGAAATGCAGGCACATGCCTGCAGTGCCTGGGGCTAGAAGCCGGGGGGTGGGGAGGGGCACTAGAGCAGCCTTCCCTTCCCTTCCTTCCACAGAGCTAAGCTGAAGGGGGCATGGCCAGGCCCAGGCAAGATGCTCTGATTAGGAAGGAGACCCCCACCCCCCGAACAGCCCAGCAGGGAAAGTTTATCACCCCTAACTCAGTGTTTATCACTCAATAAGAAAACAACAGAAGGACATGTCCAGCTACTTGTTGCTTCTGCCTGTTGATTCAGCATGGACAGTAGCCAGCATGTGGTCTGCTAGCTAATAAACAGACACCTCCTCAGCAAAGCAGAGGGGAAGGGGGAATCCCTGCTTAGCTGGAAGTGGTGAGGGGGAGGAGGGGGGAGTAGCCCACAGTCTTGTTGGAGCTCTGGCCAGGGAACAGAGGTGAGGGACCAGCCCTGCTGTGGAGCAGAGAGCCCCACTCAGCCCAGAGAATATGCTGGGATGCTGGGGGTTTCTGGTTTATCTTAAACCAGCAAGGGGTCTGGGACAGGCATTGCATAAACCAGTTTGAGCCAAATCAGTTAAGTCTATGTGTAACATCTGTTCCTAGCCTTACATTTATAGTTAAGCCTGCATTTAAAGGGAAGAGGGAGAACATTATCCCCCCTCTTTGCATCAACCATAAGTTGACTTTTCAAAAGTGACTTATGATTTTGGGTGCATACTTTAGGAGATTGTACTGCATCCTTCTCCCCCTGAAAGTCAGAGGCCTTTAAATGTCACTCAGATTGGACACCCAAAATTAAAGCATCCCAGATCACTAACCCACATTTGTGAACTCTGAGGCTAGGGACAGAAGTTACATGCAAACCAGTTTAAGTGATCCAAAACTGATTTAAACCTGTAACAGAACTGAAGTTCAGTGCACATAAACCCATTTCAAAATCGTTTAAGATAAACCTGGTTGAATGTAGTATCAGTCAACTGATTTGGGTCAAACCAGTTTATGAAACTTCTGTC